CCATGGTGGCTGTCGAGAGCGAGCTGCTCCGTTTCCGTCGGAGCGACTCGGGGATGCGGTACAGCGGCGCGGCGGGAGCTGAGGGCGGGCTGCGCAGAGACGATGGCGAGTGCAGGCGGGTCGGCGAGCAGTGGCAACAGGGGCTTTCTTCAACGGCGTGCGAGATTGGGGGTGCAAGAGCAAATCCACGGCCACGTCCTCGTCCAAGTGCGGAGAAAACGGAGGGGGAGCAGGCCTGGACGTGTGCAAGGCCACTGCGTAGGACGTCGCCGACCACACCATGGCGGTGGGTCAACAGGCCGCGCCTGGTCTGGCTGCCGGCATATGCGCCAAACTTAGCTGCGTGCGGGTGCTTGTCAGTAGTACACGCTCACCGGCGCATCGAAATCGAAGGCACTGTTGCCCCGTGCTGTACGTCGCACTCCCCTGGTAGCCTCGTTCTGCTCTGCTGCCTGTCTGCGATAACAGAGCCATCATGCATCACCATCACTATGTCAGTACATCAGTATCCAGAGCTGCCGAACGCAACTGCACATGCACGCCGTCGCTCCATTGCTCAGACGGGAAGTCCGGTCAGCAATCAGCAATCAGCAATCAGCAATCTAGACCAGTGCAGTTGTCTCCGCATCATGCAGAGCTCGAGGCATTCCCATCATTGGAGACGGAGACGGAGACGGAGACGGAAACTCAACCTCTCAATCCTCAACACCGTGACAGGTTTGGACGTCTCCCGGAGCGGCGTGGTCGCCAGCTGTCCGCGCGCGCCTGTTCTCCAGTCGAAACTTGACCCTTTCATCGCGTCCGCTACCCGCATGCTGCAAGCCGCAGCCGCGCCAGGCTCTGTGCGCAACGCGAACGCGAACGAGAGGGTGCTGTCAACGCAATGGTTACGTTGCACTTGCATTTTCATCGCACATGGATTTGCCCTCTGGTCGCGAAGACTGCCCGAAGTGGAAGGAGCACCTGACCATTTCTCAAACCATCTCGTGGGGCACGTTATTGCCGCCAACATCTCGACAATACAGTCATCACGTCGCTGGAGTCACTCTGCTTCACGTATATGAGATGAGGTCCAGGCTACTTGTACCTGTGTTCAGCATCCCTTGCCTTCCACTGCCTCTCCAGGCCGGGCACACATGTGCAATGGAACAGACTGAAGCATACCCAGCGTGTATCCGCCCTTCATCGGCTACAACCCATCTCATACTCGCTCATTCCTGTGCATCGACATGTAACACTCACAAAGGCAGCAAATCCAAAGCCTCACACGCCAACAACGGGTGCGGTTGAGGCGTCTTCGTAACGGGTAAATCGCAACTTTCCTCCAATGGCACGTGTCAAGGCCTCGCTTTACCTGGTCTGCCAACGTTATGAGCTGCGGTGCTGTGCAGGATCGGTCCGGCGTAAGCGCCATCCTTTTGCCCGTTGCAGCATGGGCGGTGAGTGGAATCCTGGTCATCAGTTGGCATTGTGCATAGCAATCAAGGTTCCGGGTTAGGCGAGATGAGATCACAAAGTCGACATCGCCGACCTGAACCACAGTCTGGGGAAGACTTCTCGGAGTACTGCGTGCTGTTACTTGGAGGGCAAACGTCCAGGGTGCAACAGCAACTGGTCCGTTCAACGCCCTCAAGGTGCACGCATCCCTGCGTAGCTGAAATCCTGCAGTACCATATCCGAACGAAGGGAAACGCAAGGTGCTGCGACAAAAAGGATAACACCGCACGCAAAGGCCGTGAAGAGTATTCTCGTCATCGACGTATATTCTATGCATGTGATCATGCCGTCGTAGCAGCTACTGTACTCAAATACGAAAGTTGAACCCTTTGGCTCTGAACGCATCTATGGGCCAAAGCTCCTCCGTCCTCCACCCAGCATTCGCTCGTGCAGTATCGTCGAACGTGTATCTAAATCTCCTTGCCTTTTCAGGGTCACTGAGATCAGTCTGTTCCACAGAGTCCGGTACAATGACGACCAGACGAAAATTTTTGCGCGCAACCGGATCGTGAAGGCCATCCGTCTTCGACCCGAGCGCGAGGTGCTTGTCGTCGAAGGGTTCTGTCGTCGGCCTCCCTGGTGGAGGATTTTTAAACGAACCTGAGATTGTAAGCTCATTTCACATCTGAAAGATGCCATTTCAACGTACCCTTGATTCCAGGGGATTGGTTGCCGAAAAATCCGGTGAGTTCCCTCTGCCAGCTCCAATCTCCTTCCTTGCCTTCCTCAAGCACGCGCATTCTCTTTCCTACTTCGCTCTTCACGGTACGTACTCCGCTACTTTCTTCCCCTCCTTCAATATCATCCGCGATAACGTATGCTCGGCCCTTGATCCGCCATTGCGTACCTGTCTCTGTGATCCAGTATACGGCTTCTACAGGTCCTCCACCACCGCTACCCTGAATCTGCTCCCTGCTCTCTGCGTGCCCTGCACTTGTCGCAAAGATCTGTCCAACCTTCTCCATGCGCACATCGGTCGTGAAAGTAGGACAGTCGCTCGCAAAGATTGGAGCATTACGCTCCGCATCGTTGTGCTTGTTTTCGGGCAGCTCGGCCCAGAAGCCACGGAAGATGCAGTAACGGACACGTGGGACGTAGGGTGTTGGTGAATCCTCAGAAGCAGCATCCAATGTACCCAGCACAAATTCCGGTGACTTCATCTTAGAGATATGATCATTGAAGAGCTGCTTCCATGGTGCGGGCGGCAGCACGGCAGCGGAACGCGCAGTGGTCGACATTGTGCGTAGAAAACGCGAGAGTCGGTGAGTTGCTACACGTGAAGCTATGTTTGCTGTGTTGAGAAGAAACAATTCTTTGATCATTGGTTTGTGAGTGAAGGAGTTGGAGCTCCCAGATGTCAAAGGGTTGGTCCCTACTGTACGCGATCAATGATGTCGTCATCCATCCAGAGCAATGGCTCCGCAATAGTCTCAAGACAACCCGTGTCGTCAACTGCGTAAACCAGTGTACAGTCGCATGTCACCTTGGAACATGAGACTCACAATGTTTAACTATACTTACGCCTTTCCATCACGAGGACCTCCACCACGTTGCAGATGACTGTTTTCGCTGTGCTTCCGAGGTTGCACACCCCCACATCGCGTTTTACGCTGTATACACACGGCGAAGCAAGGGGCGACAAGTCGAAGACCAATCGAGCTTGGGAGGGTTTGAGAGTGTGTATAGACAGCCACACGGGAGTAATCTGCACATTACCACATACAACGCATCCGATACATACTGTGGCAATGCCAAGCGATCAAGATCTATGTACAATGTTGCCTAGGTACATGTGTAGCCTCAAACGTGTGCAACGTAACACTGACTAGCAACTTAGGCTTCAGAACAGCTGAAGTTGCGGCGGTCTTCTTGGGGCATAGACATTTATTTCCGGGAGCTATGAAGATACCCACGCCGCGCCCAAACTTGGGACATACAGTACGCGGGGGCATGTTTGCAACAAGGCGCTCGTGCTATTCCTCGATCTCTCAAGCCTTCTTGAAGAAACTGGCAATACTTCCCTGACCCTTCTTTCCCGCAGGTTTTCCCTTCGTGCTACTCGACGGTTTGGTAGTCGCTGTCTTGAGCTTCTTGGGCTCAGGCTCATCTTCGGAGAAGGATTCCCATACGGCCTCATCTTTGGTAACTGGACATATTAGTTCAGTAATGTAGATGCACGCCAACAAAGCATACCTAGGTAGCCGTCTTCGTCCTTGACCTTCTTCTTTTTCATCACCCGTCGCTTGCCTCGTCTTCGACCATTCTCGACGATGACGGTCGCTTCGCCTTGAGTCGATTCCGGGGTCTCTGCATTACTGGCTGGTGTCGCTGCGGGTTGAGACTCGGTTTCTATCGGCGCGTCTGGCATGTCTTCGTCTGTTCCAGGGATTAGAGGGAGCTTTTGCTGGCATATATAGACCTACCGTCGTCTTCCATCATCTTGCGCAACTTTTCTTGTCGGTCCTCCCGAGCTTTGCGGGCAGCCTCGTTCTTTGCGCCGTCCACGACAACCTCGGGCATGTCCCCTGCGTCGCCTTCGTCCTCAGACATACCTTGCATAGGTTCTGCATTTGTTAGTCTGGTGAGATGTTTGTGTCTAAATGTACTTACCATCCGCGGCAGGCGTCGATTCCTTGGACTTCTCGGCATCTTTCGTCTTTGGCTTCGCTTTTGCAAACGATTTGAAGAGATCGCCTGCCGATTGGCTTTTCTTGTTGCCAGATTTGGAATCAGACCTTTTCAAGGTAGGGTTGCTGGCTATTGATTGAGGCGTAGATCGGCTGGCCGCGTTGTCTTCCGCTGCGGTACCTTTGCTTGTTGTGGAGTCCGTGTCCTTTGCCTTGCCCTGGGCTGCTGTGGCGGTACCAAATGATGGTTTTGCAACGGGCTTTGCGGCGGCTTTCGTTGTGGCAGGGGCGAGGGGAGGAGGGACGGACTTGACAGTTCTTCGCTGCAGCGGGGGGTCAGCGCACCATACTTGAAGCCGATAGTTGATGCGCGCGTTGGGAATCGTACCTTGACATAGGGGTTCTGGATAGACCCATATATTCTCCACCAATTCATGGGGTCCTCATCTGAATCTTGCGTGACAATTTCATGATTACAGGCCGCCAGTACGCCAGAGTCCTGTGTCGCTTAGCTATGATATCGAACCCTGCAGAGCTTCTTTCCTTACCTCAATCGGGCCAGGCTCCAGACTGTAAACGTGGATGGACGTCACCTCGTCGAACTCGGCGCGTGTGTCTGGCGGACCGTCAGCGCTTTCCCCCACCGTCTCGATTTCAACGCACGCTGCAATTCTTCCTCCCGGACTAATAGAATTGTCGTCTCCTGAACCGGCTCGTCGTCACCGTCGTCTTCTCCATCATCTTCATCATCGTCGTTGTCGTCATCCCCTTCGTCTTCTGCAGCTTCGGGCATGGAGCTCTTGAACGGAGAACTCCGCATATCGACGTCGGCACCATCTTGGGCGCTGGTGCCATTGGAAGCTTCGTGGGCGCGCTGCTTGCCGGTGATGAGGTAGGTGGCATGAACCGACTTGGCCTTCTTCGCGTTTTGCTTCTGGTGGAAATCGAAGAGCATGCTGAGATGGGTCAGCTGACAGCAGAAGCCTAGCTGGTGCACACAAACAGCTTCGCCGAGTTGACATTGACCTGGAGTGCGCGCGACAACAGCCGGTATGTGACCTGGAGCCTGTTAAAGGGCAGTTTATCGGGCACCTTGTTTCAACAACTCACAGGCTTGTTCTCCGTGAGCAGACGGGCAGCCAGGTAGTCCTTGTACGATTCTTCAGCCATGGCGGATTCGGCGTGTCTGCTCGCGTCTGGCCAGCGATGCGCTGCGGACTGCTCAAAGTGCTGAAAAACAACGGAGACGCGACGGCAGCAGCAAAGTGCAACGCGAAATCAGGTGCTCGCGCCGTCCCATTGGTCCCTGATCGCCATGACTCGCGCTGAGCACCCCGACACCCACTTGCAGAGCCCCAGCACCTTTCCCTTCAACGCCACAAACTGGACATCTCCAGTGCCGAACCTCCCTCGGCAAACGACATGAGTGCCGGTGAGGATGACGACGTCAAGCTGCAGCGAGCGTCTGCGTCGCTGATTACCGACTTCGAACATATCCTCCCACGTTTGCTCCGGAAACGCAAGCACGGCTTGGTTCCTGTCGGAGTAATGCACAAAGCCTGCTCTCTGGTATGCTGGGGAGACATCGATGTGATCTGCATGCAGGTTCTGACAGTGCTTAGATTGAACCATTTCAAGAAGACCCGCAGATTCTGGACACTCATCTCAAGACTTTCATCCCTCCACTTGTCGATGCCTATCTCGACACGTTGAGTATTTCCAGTGAGACACCACAGAAAGCTCACGTGCCGCTTTCCCACGCTGTTTGCTGCATATTGAACACCTTCTGCAAAGTTCGCGGTGAAAAGGTCATCAAGGGCTTCCTCAGCAACGAACCCCGCTACCTCTTGCCAATCCTCCAAGAGCTCGAGGTTGGCCGCAACTACCGCGCTGGAAATGGCGATGCATGTCCACATGAACATGTTGTGCCCTGGGTCGAGCGTTATATTCTGCTATCATGGCTCTCCCACTTGATGCTCGCGCCATTCCCCTTGGCATCAATGTCTGGCCTAGAGTCGTCGGAGCCAGTGTCGACACTTCTCGGTGCTGAGCTTCCTGCCAAAGCACCCGCCATAACGTTGCGTGTGCTGTCTGTTTGTTTTGGCCTACTACGCTCAGCCTCGAAAGAACGTACAGCAGCAGCAAATCTTCTGGCAAAACTTTGTATGCGCCCGGACATGCAGAAGCTCGGCATGCTCGATAAGCTGGCCAATTGGTCCGTGTTGTGCTTGGAGTCTGCAGACGAGACTCAGGGAGACATTCATCAGTGTCTTGGTATGCTTTCTTTCTTATCGGGTCTTGTCGCATCGACCACGAATGATGAGGTAGCGGGCTCTTTGTCTGCAATTTACCGTGCATGTCGGAGCTTATTGAACCTCAAGCACCTCTCATGGATCAAATCTTCTGCGGTGGCGCGGAAAATTATTGTCAAGATTCTTCGCAACATTGTGATACACACCCTGCACCCCACTGCAGTCTTGGTCGAGCTTGATTCAACGACGGTTCTCGAAGAAGTGATCGAGTATTTGCTAGAGGCCGTAGCTGATGGTGACACACCTGTGCGATACGGAGCAAGCAAAGCACTCAGCGTGATCACACTGAAACTTGAAACAGAGATGGCAAACGAGGTTTTAGAGGCCATTCTCGGTTCTTTGAATGAGAGTGTGTACTGGGAAGGCTCGAAACGAAATCTTAGTGGCGTTAATGCACTGCGATGGCATGGCCTGACGTTGACATTGGCTCAATTGTTATATCGAAAGGCCATTGCAACCAGCAGACTACCAGAGGTACTCAACGCTCTACTTCTCTCATTGAGTTTCGAACAGCGATCTCCTACGGGTGGCTCCGTAGGTACAAATGTGCGCGACTCGGCGTGTTTCGGCGTCTGGGCACTCTCAAGACGTTATGCCACGAGTGATCTACTTGTGGTGGATACTGCAGCAATTCGAGCATGTGACCACAGGGAAAGTCTGTCCGTACCGCAGGCACTTGCCATCGAGCTTCTCACCGTCGCGTGTCTAGATCCTGCTGGTAACATCAGAAGAGGCTCGTCTGCCGCTCTACAAGAGCTGATTGGTCGACATCCAGATACTGTCGAGCAAGGTATACCGCTGGTACAAGTCGTCGACTTTCACGCCGTGGGTCTCCGACAACGAGCTATGTGCGATGTTGCGACCAGAGTCGGTGATCTACATCGCTTGTATTGGGAGGCACTTTTCGACCATCTACTTAGCTGGAGAGGAACTGGGGCATTGGACAATGACTCTCGTCTGTTCGCTGCCCAAGCTCTAGGACTGTTGACGAAGACACGATCTCCACACACCGTACGAATTTTATCAGACCGCGTTTGCCATGAGATTGCCAAACTGCGACCGCGTCAAGTGGAAGAACGACAGGGCCTTGTGTCAGCACTTGCGGCTATCATTAACACCTTGAGTGGTCAAACAGCACCTCGCGATGCGCCGAGTGCAGCAGAAGCTCTTCTCACTAGCAAAAAGGCTTTGCTCCCCCTTTGGCAATTATTGAGAACCAGACTACAACTGGATGACAAGGATTACACATCTCCAGCCCTGCGGCCAGAACTGACTGCATCATCACTTGCTCTTTTCATCGCATCCATCGCAAGCTTGACTATACAATTACCACAATCTTCCTGGCCAGAAGATGTCCCTATAGCAAATGTTATTCACGTTCTGAACCTATGTTTGGCGCGCCATGAGGACTCAGTCCTTGAAGCGGTCAGACTCACGACCCCGGTAGTTATATCGCTGCTATCAGTGAACAACAAGTCTGTACTATGTACAACTGTATGCAGTTGGTTGACGACCCTTGAGAAAGAGAGCTCTTTCAATGGGTTGCGTTGCGCGGGTCATGCAATCGCGCTTGGCTCAGCGTACCCAATTCTACAAGGACAACCTCCTAACGACCCTAACAGCTTCACGGATATCCGGAGACGTATCATCGAAGTCCTGACGTTCAGGTGTACATCGGCTGTCGCAGTCGAGGCCCGGACCGTCTCCCTCCAGGCCCTGACCATCGTCGTGAGTAGCTCGCACAAGCTCGAAGCACTTGTAGAGAACCAGATCATCGCCGCGCTGCACATCGCTCTGAATGACTACACTATAACTGAACGGGGCGATGTTGGGTCTCTTGTCCGTACAGCAGCTCTGAGGAATGTGGGGGCGGGATGGGCGGCCGGCAACCTTCAGCTCGAGGGAAGCGAAGTGCATCAGAAGGTTCATGCGGATGTTTACCGACTCTCACTAGAAAAGCTTGATAAAATTCGTGGAGTGGCGTCTCGTATCCTAAGGATGCGTATTCCCTCGTCATTCGAGAAGTCTGAGACACCATCTGAAGATGTCTCCTCTGTAAAGTATTTCCACGATGCTCTACAAGTATTCCTATCGACTACTCAAGATACTGTCAAAGAAGCCATAATCCTTGGCTATGTCAGTTCCGCTGGTCTAGGCTCCGAATCAGTCACCCATAATGCCAGGAAGGCTCTTCTGCGATTTTTTGCTGCGCTGCAAGTTGACTCAGCGATAGTGACTTCGCAATTATCCGTAGCTGACGTGGCGAATTGCATGTTGCAACTTTTCAAGAGCAATATTGACAATGATAGAGTCTTACTTCCACTCCTAGAGACTATCGCCTTCCTCTTCGATATGCGCGTCCTGCAGCGTCTTGTCTCGTCGTCGTCTTTTAAGTAAGATAAAAAATGCCAACAAGAGTAACCAATGCTGACACACGAAGCTTTCGATCACTGCTATCTCATACGCAGAAAGCGCACTTCAAGTCTTCCCATATGCAAAAACTTCACTTCGCCTTAGATCTCTATCGTGGACTGGGAGAGATTCCAACGACAGCTTCCGACACCATCACTAAGGTCGTCAATATGCTCCTGCATCCTTTTCCAAAAGTACATCATCCCAAGCTCCGCTCATGTTCGGTATTAACAACGGAATTAGGTCCGTATCGCAGCTGCTGAGACATTGTGGTCCTTAACCCAACTCGAATCATTGAAGTTGCAGGATTGGAATTTACCGAGCACGAGTTTGAAATCTGCTGTAAACAGTGTCAAGGCAGAGTTGGCGTCCATATCAGACGGGGTGTCATGACAGGTGTTCAGACTTTCAGATGTTCGTGTGGTCGGCCAATACCGACATATCTATACCTGCTGCTTGCGACACATTACAGAGGCTTCCACGATATAAAGACCAGCGATAGAAGCCACAATAGTACTAGAGATAGGTTTAGCTGGTCAAAATGTGGTATGATAGTTGAGCACGTGATACTAGCTGAGGTCAGAATTGAGATTGGATAATTCTTATGCAACTTTAGTACCGCTGGTCAATAGGCTTTGTCTTTTTGAGCCATCGTTACAAGTAGTCCTCTACTTCCTCACTGGAAAATCGATGGCTTCGAGGTTTGTGTTTCCAATACTGTCACCACTCGCAGCTGTAATCAGCCCATCTAACCAATCTTGGTGACCCAATACTGTGGATGCTTTCAGCACTTTCCGCAGATACAATTGGAATACGCGATCACTTACACATTTTGTTGGGCTTCTGCACTCCCCACTCCTTGAAGACTGGCCCAATCTGACTCTCCTGTGTCAATATTCTGACACGTTGACCTTCCAAATCCTCGACGAGCCATGCATGGTAGATCTCCAATCCCTCTGGAGTCATACTACTCCACGCAATCCTTCCTGCTCTACCGTTGCTCTCCGGCGCTTCCGACTCTTCTACGGAACACGTCAAGGGTGGGAAACCGAATGTACTAAACTTGAAGACATCTGATTTGTGTAGGAACGGTCCGGATGAGGGCACCGTGATCTCTGCGCAGTTCTTGTAGTATGACTCCCATTTAGAGATGTTAGCAAGGAGAGCCCAGATTTGTGTGCTTGTGATGTCTTTCGCGATGCGTTCGTTGGAGACAAAGTTGTCTGTTGTGCCGGGCTTAAAGTGTTCGGGCCAGATGATTGAGGACTGAGTCGACATTGTAGGTAGAGCAGTATAATCAAGATAAAGCTTGGTAAAACTATGCTTATTGAGAAGAAGATTGAGCGCGCAAGTTGTCTGTTCTGCACTTAGCAATCATGGCCTCGCCTTTTTCAAGGGCTGATTTAGGTGATCGACAGGGTCCTAGTCTTAGACGTCATCGTGAAACGCAGATACTCAGGATTTGCTCGAGTTATGTAGCGACATCAATATGCAATGGTAATTCACTGAACATCATGAAACATGAAGGTTGTAAATAAGTCAAGTTATGATTTGCCTAGACACGTTGACATTATCATCGAGAAAAGCACCCGTGGACTGCGATAATCCGAATATGACGTGCTCCTCACATCCACTCATCGTCTGGGTTGATAAACCGCACTCCGTATACTGAGCTTGGAGCAATGTTGTTGAAGGTGCTGCACGACATCGCTGCATATGAACGACACATGCATCTTTCATCACCACAAAGCCACTGATAAGGCCAACTACCAGGGTATGTGCATAATGATGTCTCTCCTGCGCCGGCGGGGTACTCGGAGTACTGGTACGGCAACAACGTCTCGTTTGTAGTCCAAACAGTCGAATCGCATGGACAGCTGATCCTGGGTTGGGCGCCCTGGCGGTTAAGGGCGCGCTGATCGCAGCCAGTTTTTTCTGATCCTCTGTTCACATAATCCTGAACGCGATTTCCATTGATCGAATAAGAATTGTGGATTTTGAAAGATGTCTGCAGTTGTGTATCGAAATGGTGGTCTGGAACGTGGAGTCGGATCGCGTCTTGTATGTTCGCCGAAGAACAAGTATGATCCATAGCTGTCTCAGGACGATACTTTGAAGGTGCAGTTGCAGCTGTCGACGTTGTTCTCCGCATTTCCTGTTCCCGGCATGTTTCCTCTGCGTCATCCTTCGACTTCGTTGGGAGGTTTGAGCTACTTAAAAGGCAGGCGAAGTTGACAAGAGAATCGAGAGCATCCATCGTGACGACTCGCGGCAGTATCAAAGAGTTTCCGGGTACGTGCAGGACAACAGCTTCTATTGTCAACACCTAGGTATCGATAAGTATATAATTGTACGCGGTGTGATACTCATTACACACTCTCGGTCTCAGGCGAAAATGCATCCTGATTGATGGTAGTACATCCTGTCGTATGTAGTGACGTTACCTGTACATTGTCACATACTGATGGGTCACAGCTAAGCCTGGTAAAGTCCTTGTTCGGAGTACTGGCGCAGTACCGGCGATGTGTTCAGCTCAATAGAGTCACTTCGTCTTGAACTTGCACACATCGTGGCTTGGATAGAGCGCGCGATGGTTACGAATTCCTGAGTCAATTCAGTTTGAGGATAGGTTCTTATTCTTCACCTGAATGTCTTCAAAAGTTCATGGATCTCATCCCAGGACAACGAGGATGACCAAAGATAGATGAGCCACATCGTAAGCACGTGGTCTGGTGCCTATTGTATTGAATGAAAGAGAGACGAGCCATGACAGCGCCCGATCGCCGGTCAACGACTATAGCCTCGTTCTAACTCGTTTCGTGAACTGGTCATCTGGTAGGTCTGAACTCGTATATCACCCCTGAACAATAATAACTAGCCGAATCCACGGCGTCTGAGAATGAACGAGTTTTTTACCCCATACCACAAGGCTATCCATCAAGAGTAGGTCATACCATTGTCTACTAAAGCGCAGCATTGACCCAGAGTCCGTTTGAGTACAGTTATATACTGGAAAGAGTCATGGAGATCTGTGAAAAGGTCTAGATACACTTGCATAAGCCAGACTTCCGTCGAAAAACCTCATAATGTATGCAATTCTTGCTTACCCAACATAAGAAAAAGTCCGGCTCGCATGGTAGCACATTAGGCTACTCGACAAGTTGTACGGTGTGTCCATGGATGGTGAAACTAATGATTGGTTGTGGGACGGCCCGAGCCCGGTCACCAAGGAGTCGTGCTGCGTGTCGAAATTCGAAAGCCTGATCACGGGCTTCGAAAAAACCCGTATTTTACACGTAACCGAATATTCTTCGAGCCTCGTGAAGAAGGCTTGCGCAGGGTCTTGTTGAGAAAGTGCACTCATGATCTATTAGCAATCGTAGAAGGCGAGTCCAAATCTGATGACCAAAGAGAAGTCCAGTGACAAGCACACTGTTGCGTGAGTTACGGGCAGCAGTAGATTTGGTGGAGAGGATCACAATGTCGCCCTTGGCAGGTACAAAGAAGTCTAGTACTGTTTGCGTTCCCGTTGGTGGATACCTACTAGTGCGGCACCTCCGTCGCCCCACGTACACTACCGGTGTTCGCTTGGACCTTGTGCGCAACGCGTCGCGACTCTCTGTTGCCGATTCGAGCTGCTAAGCTTGCTAATTGCTTTCTTACAGCAACTGTCGACGCGTTCCAAACAGCCACACAGCAGCAACAGTTCGCGCACTGCCTCGCGGCCGCAATGCTCCACGAAATATTGCTCTCACTGTCCGGTCATCCGTCAGCACTCTTCGACACCGGCGCCACCTCAGGGCACGTGAATTCTACCACAAGTCATCTCCTTTCACCGCCTGAAGCTGAATTGTTGTCATCCATCGGACATCTGTCGCGCTTGCATCGTAAGGTTCGAGATCATGCCGCTAGAATCGCCACGACCCACCCGTCGACGGTCTGTCGCGCAGTGGCAGCCGCAGTCACTTCGCATCACCTCGAATCATTCCAGCGAAAGATACTCGATGTCGAGAGCAGGATTCTAAAGCAAGACGCATCAACTGTTGGTGCTTACAACATTGTGCCATTGGCTGGCATCGTTGGCGAATTTTCTGAGTGGATTCGGCTACTAGAGTGGTTATGGGAGTTGAGCACTTTTATGTTGTCGCCACATGTCCAGCCGAATGCAGAAAAAGGTCTTGTTGGAGCCTCTTCTGGGGCACAAGTCATTGACAAGCTGCGGATGGAGGCCCAGACTGGGCATCCCACGATCGAAGAAGCAGCCAACCAATTAGGGGACGTTGCGGAAACATCTTGGCTAAGACAGCTATCGACATGGCTCTTGTATGGTCGCTTACCATCATTCGGAGCGATAGATTTTTTCGTACACCGAGACGAAGAGGACTCTGGTGAGCTGTTGTTTGTAATCAATCACCAACTCTTGCCTAAGTTTGTTACTCGTCAAACAGCCTCTTCGATCCTTTTCGTTGGTAAATCACTCAATCAGATTAGGTCTGTGCCACCTAGCATAAGAGCCGACAACGCGCCGTCAAATATCTCGGAGCTTGATCTTCTACCAAGCCATGTAGAAATGTTGTCTGTGGTTCGCGCACCGATCATAGCTGCAGAGCTCGCCGAAGCAGTCACTAAGATTCGGTTATCTTTATCTCGAAATCTACTGCAGTATTTGCTGCCACGGAACAGAATTATTGAAACGCTCACTGTCCTGCACCAGTTCTTTCTTCTTGGCAGAGGCGAATTTGCGATGACGCTTATCACAGAAGCGGATGCGAGAATTTCGGCCAGACATCGAGGGCCACTTCCTATCAGGTCAAATACCACGAAAGGTGTTGTGATCAGAGAGGCTGAAATCAGCCAAACGCTAGCACGCTCTTTGGCCGTTCTCTCCACGCTATCCGGCAACGATGAGCACACTGATGATATACTTGAAGTTGCTGCAAGGGTGCTACATCTCACATTGAAAGAGTCGCCCAGTAATCGACCAGGCACTCCTGGGCGGGCGAAAGACGCGGAATCCGTCCTGCCACAGATTCTCGACCTGTCATTCAACGAACTACTGCTCTTAGCGCCATGTTCTCTTTTCATGGATGTTCCCTTTCCCTTGGATCTTTTTATCACCAGAGGGGATGTAGAGGTATATTCTTCCATCCATGCATACCTGCTTGCAATTCGACGAGCTCATCTCCATCTTGCTCAATTATGGCGACAAAGTTCCATCCGCCGAGATCATCCATGTCCTCCAGGGTACCAGTACAGCAATTCAGCACACGGCAAATTGATTCTGGATCGGCGCCGCCGCAGAGCAGTAGAGCGCACAAGGTCTATGCGCAAAGTGTGGGCCACTTGTGCAGCGGCAGTCTTTTTCCTTGCCGAAAGCGAGGATTACTTCCAGGGGACGGTGGTACAGGGAATGTTTGACCATTTCCTTTGCTGGGTCGATAGTGCCCACAGTCCACAGTCGCACGAGCTTTCAGAGTTATCCCATAACAACCGAGACATGTCTGCCACTTCAACGGAGACTTGGCAGCAGCACGACCCAGAAGCCCTTGGTCTTGCACATCGCAGGTTTCTATCATCTGTTGGCTACTCACTACTTCTCACCGATCCTGTGTTTTCCAAATCACTACGGAATTTCTGCACCCATGTAGACGAGTTGGTAGCATATATCGCACGTCTTACAGGTATTCAGCAAAATCTGGATCTAGAGGAAGACGAAGGAATCGAAGACTTTGCGCAGAATTACAAAAAGGAGGAGAAGGATGTACTGGTGGAGCTTGATCGTGCCCGAAAACGACTCGATGGCGATCTCAAAGGTTTAGTTGAGCGACTGAGAGAGATCGATAACGAGCGTATCGGTGCGTCTGTACCTATTGTCATAGGGACCTCGCAACAAGGGGACTTAGAGTACGACCCTCTTAGAGTAGGAGGGATTGATCGGCTGCTTATGAAGCTAGATTGGGGTAGTGAGTACGAAGAGGCTGATAAAGCAATAGATCTTCTCTAGTTAGTAGAAATTAAGTTTTTAAAACGACCATTTGCAATACTATCTATAATTTTCTTCAAAGTTCTTAGGCTTTATTAGCATACTAAATATTAAACACTAATACTCTAGAACCTTATAATCTAATAGAGCTGCTAAGAATATTAATAGATAAGTAACTAGTTAAGCAATGCTATTATATTAAACTAATTATAACTCTAATATATATCTCTTAAAATAGAACTAAAAAACCTTAAAATATAATATATACTAATATAAATTACTACTAAGCAGTCTAATCTTACTAAGTAGACTACTTTCTTTAAGAAATATAATTTTCTCTATAAATCTATAATATACTCTATAAGTTTACTGCTACTATAGGTTTATAAGCTACTTAATTTTACTAAAGAAAATTAATAATTTAAAGCTTAATAACTCTAGATCTACTAAATAAAATTCTCTAAAATCTTTACTATAGAGCTATATATATATATAAACTTTATATTTTTAGAATTACTAAGCTCTAGCTATAGTATTTAGAAAGTTATTAAAGAAAATCTAAATTATAAAGATTTTTTTAGTATACTTTTTAATATCTA